GTCAGGCCACATTATGCAGATGTCTCTTTCTCCAGCATGTTGGATTGACTGAAGATAGATTAAGTTTAAGATGTGGCTCAGTGGCTCACTTGCCTGGCATAATAAGGTTCTGTGTTCTCTCCAGCTCTGCAGGAAAATAACTTAGGATTTGGCCCCAGAGTCCGTTTTATTCTTCAAATGGTTTGTGAAATTATGTGGCATGGCGTGAGAACATCTATATGATTTCCACCAACAGAGAAGCATAAGGTCACATAGAACAGAGTGTGAGGAACTGAGTCATAGGGATTTCAAAGGCAGATGCTCAGCAGCCAGCCCACCTGCTGCTTCTTAGTTTGTGCTCAGCTCCCCCTGCAGTTTCTGCCACTGTGTCACTCAGAGCACAGTAGTACACGGCCCAGTCAGACTCTTGAACTGAGGCTTTCTCCAAGTGGAAGGAGCTGGATCCTTTATCATATGTGGCTTCAAATCCTCTGCTGCTTCCCTTTGCACCAGCCGTAATGGCTTTCAGGAGGAACTGTAGACTTTCTCCAGGATATTGAACATACCAGAAAAGAGCAGGAGACCATGTATTTGTGATTATATATGTGCAGTTTATTGTCAGGAACCCGCCTTCTGAGATGGTAACTTGGCCTCCTGTTTGAGTCACAGAGTCTCCTTGGGTCCTTCCTAGAGAGCACGGAGAGGAGAGAGGGGGAGAGTGAGTTCTGTGTCACCTTGAGGATAATGCTTTAGATAATGTAAGGCTAAAGACTTGGCTATTTAAATCTATTTACTTACCGAATATGAGGAGTATTACAATCACAAAGTCTGGAGAAAAGTCCATTTTTAGTGTTGCCTAGAATGGTCTTGATGCTTAGCATGAGGAAGAATCGCTAGCTCAGAGAAAGGATGAGTCCCTTTCAGATACAAATAACACAGGAAATGAGCCTGCCTTAGGAAACTGCACCCCCTGGAGGACAGGAACTGAACTGAGAATGGGTGTTACCCTGTGCCTCCTCCCTGGTCTTAATAATAATGTATATGTCAGTCTTTAGGCCCTTGTACATGTAAAGACAGCTATAATCTTGCCCCTGTCAGAATGGCCAAGATCAATAAAATTAATGACAGAACATGTTGTTGGGGATGTGGGGAAAGAGAAACACTTATTCACTACTAATGGTAGAACAAACCTGTACAACCAATCTGGAAATCAATGTGGTGATTCCCTGGATAGCTGGGAATAGATCTACCTTAAGATCTACCTATACCACTCTTGGGCATAAGCCCAAAGGACTCTACACTGTACTATAGAGGCCCTTTTCATCCATGTTCTTTGCTCCCCTATTCACAATAGGCAGGAATTGGAAACATCCTAGATGTCTATCAACTGATGAGCAGATGGTGACAGTGTAGTACATTTACACAATGGAATATTATTCCACTAATAAAACTAAAATTATGAAATCTGAAGGTAATTGGATTGAGCTTTAAAAAAAATCAAGCTGAGTGAGGTACTCTAGACCTAAAAAAGACAAAAATTGCATGTTTTCTTTAATATGTAGACATTAGCTTTTAAGATTTTGATAGGCAATCCAAATAATCATTAAAGTTAGGTACCAGATAGGGGACTAGGAGGGAGGAGAACAAAGAAGAAATAGAATATAGTGCTATATAAAGACAAAAGAAAAAAGTAGAATAGGTGAACTAAATAGGGAGGGAATGGAAAAGAAAGGTAAAGGAGGCAATGTGGGGATGGACAACTAGTACAAAGTCCATTTTAAAAAGCATATGAGAACCCACTATTATATAAACTTCTTAAAGCATGAAGCATGCATACATATATGGAATCTAAAATAGAGCAGACAGTTGCCAACTAGACATCTTACATCACCAAGTAAAACCTATGATGCCAGGAATTGGTTACATCTTGCTGAGTTGTTGTCCAAAGAAGCCCCTTGGAAACCACTAAACATTTCATGCTATTGCCAAAGCTATTCATTATTCTCTACAATTTCATAGTAAGTCATTATTGCTGAATACAAAATTTACAAATGTCATCCAACATAGAGAAGCTGAACTGGTGCCTAACTAGGAACTTGTCTCCTTATTGACTAGCATTCGTGTTACTGGAAAAAACTTCCCACATTATCAGAGAAGAAAGGCAATCACCAGTATCTCCCAGCTACAAACCAAGAGAACTGTAACATGACCTTCCTACAAGACATACTAGAGAAATAGTGTCACAAAAGTTAATGGAGTAACCAACCACTTCTGGATTGGATTTCAAGCCCACTCCCTGAGATATGACCCATTCCTGACTCCACTAAAGTGTGTAGGAGCCTGAATTTAGGTAGGACAAGGACTTAGGGGCAAACCCACTACTACTATTCTGCTGAAGGAACATAGCAATAAAATGATCCCTAATAGCATTACACTATGCCCATAGACTGGTTTCTTACTCAACCTTCATCAGAAAAGCTTTTTCTAACAGTATATTGCAATTAAAATAGATACCCACAGCTGGTCACTGTACAGAAAGTGAGAGACACTGGAGCATTCAGTCCTAAAGGAAATTTGTTCATCAAAGTCCTCCCATTCAAAACCTCAGAGATCTATGTGGAAGAGGAGGCAGAAAGACTTTAAGAGCCATGGGTGATGAGTGATTCCAAGGGAATGGTATCTTCCAGACACAACCATCTTGGTATACTTGTAAACTCAGAGACATTGTGGCAGTATGTACAAGAGCAATACAGATTCAGCTAGACATGGTTCCTGAACTGAGAGGGAGAAGTGGACACTGGGCCCCTAATCAAGAAGCTATCTGCAATTAATACCTGGTGGGTAAGATGAAAATCTCCCAAAGTGTTTCCCTGGCTATATCAACCAAACTACAGGGTATATCAATCTCATTGCCCAGAAATTTTTGCCCAACACAAAATTAAATCAATGCTGTTTTTAGAATTTTTGTTTCATTTTGATTTGCTTTGGCACTCTTATCCTCTTTATCTTTTTGAGGTTTTTGTTTTTTTGTTTGTTGTAGCATGCTCTTTAAGGCCTTCAAACCCCAAATCATGACAGGAAATTGGAAAAAAATGAAATTTATGCCTTGGCAATGCTGACATATGCATGTGCATCCCATGTAAGGCAATTATGGTGAACTTGTCCATCTTGGGTTTCATGGTCTAAACTGATGAGGATGACTAACCAGGTCTGTTCCTCAAAAGGGCACCAGATCTCATTAGAGATGGTTGTGAGCCACCATGTGGATGCTTGGCCTTAGCTTATGCTTGTTTCTGGCTTTTTTTTTCTTTAATTAAAATTAACCTACTTCTCTTTATCTACATTCTGTCTTAGGGCTTTGCTTTTTTTTTTCCATTCCTTTACTCTGTATGTCTATTTGGAAAATTGCCTGACTGACCTCAGGTATCTTCCTCTCTTCCTCCCTGCTTTCTTCTCTTTTCTTCATCTTGATTCTAGATTCTACCTACTACTTATTCTCTGTTCACCAGGCCTGACTATCCCTCTTCTCCCTAGTTGTTGGCCATTCAGCTTTCATTAGACCAACTGGGTGCCCTAGGCAAGGTGGTATAGGGGCACATTTTCATGTAATTAAAAAAATGCAACATAAACAAAAACAGCAGAGCTTTACATAATCAACAAAAGCAGCACAAACAAATGCATAACACCTTTAAAGTGTTAAATCCATAACAGTTTGCAATTTTATTTTTTGTAAGGTACATTTTAGTTACCTGTTTCTTTTTTTTTATTTTGATTATTTTTTGGAGAGAGAAAAGGAACACAATTCTGGATGGGTTAGGAGATGGGGAAAATCTGGGAGGAAATTGGGAGGGCAAAACATTATCAAGTTATATTGTATAAAAATATTAAATAAAAAAGATTTTGAAAAGGCAGGAACACACCAAACCCAAATCAACTACACAAGAAGGAATAACAAAAATCAGAGCAGAAATAATGAAATAGAAACAAAGAAAGCAGTACAAAGAATCAATTAGTCCAACAACTGGTTCTCTGTAAAGATAAATATAATTAATAGACCTCTGACTCAGAAGCTTCCCAAATTAACAGAATCAGAAATGAATAGGGAAATAATATGCCATACACCAAATAAATTCAGAATTAGGGGAATACCGTAAACCTGTACTCCATTTAGTAAGAAAATATAAGACAAATGAATAAATGTCTTGATTCTTCCAAACCACAACACTTAACCAAAAGGAGACCAAAAATTTAAGCATACCTGCAACAAATAAGGGAATTGAAGCAGAAATAAAATTCCTTCTGACTAAAAAGGTCCAGCTCCAGATGCACTGGAAAGCAAATTCCAACAAGATTCAGCATCTTTTTCCTTTATGCATATCACAAACAGTTACATATTGCACTGAAAAAAGAACACACTAGAAACATAAGGAAGAGACAGGAGAATATGATATATTTTTGGACAAATGAATGAAGGAAGCGAAATAAAAATGTCAGAAACGTATTTCCCCAAGATAAATACTGTCTCCACTGGGAGCTTCTACTTCTAAATACAGTCAAATATAAGAATCCTTATGAATCACAAATAAGTTATCAGATGTTGAGTGGAAAGAAAAGTAAACCCTTTGTTAGTGCACTCACTAGAAAGATATGGAGTATGTGCAGCCTCATAAGTCATGATAATTCTGTGAATATCATGAGTCAGGTTCAGAGGTTAGGAATTATAGGGGATGATTTATACGTAAACAGCTTCATTCAACAAGAGATTTTGCATTTAAGACATCAAAAATTCAGCCTAGTGTAGTGGTTCTTTCCTATAACTCAAGCCCACTGGAGGTGCACGCAGGAAGAGCAGGAGTTCAAAGTCAGCCTCAGCTTCATAAGGAGCACAAGGCCAGCCTGGGCTACTGGAAATACATCTCACAAAACAAAAACAGAAACAAAGAAAATCACCATGTGTGTGACTGCTTCACTCTTTCTGATCAAGCCTAAAGTAAAGCATTCTCACTAATGTGTTCTTAGAATTAATTTGTATGGTTTACACTGTAGCAGTGCCTGAGTGTGTGGTGAGTGTAAATAATAGCAGATCTGTCCCTGGTCCCTAAATGGGTGATCTCAGACACACTCAGCAGCCAGGCCTGTGCTTCCCAGAGTTTGTGCTCAGCTCCCCCTGTGGTTTCTGTTACTGTGGCACCCAGAGCACAGTAGTACACAGCCGAATCTGACTCTTGGACTGAGGCTTTCTGCAAGTGGAAGGAAGTGGATCCTTCATCATATGTAGCTTCAAAACCTCCGCTGCTTCCCTTCTCGTTGGCCTTTGAGACTTTGAAGAGGAGCTTTGGACCTTCTCCTGGGTACTGCACGTACCAGAACAGGGCTGGGTACTGTTTGGTTTCATAGGAACAGTTCACAGTCAGAGAGGTCCCTTCAAAGAGTGTCACTTGGCCTTCTGTCTGAGTCACTGAGTCTCCATTGCTTTCTCCTAAAAAGAGAAATTGATAACAACTCAGTATAGGCCACCTTGGTGATGACCGATATTCTGCCTCATAGGAAAAATTGTCCTTAAAATTTAGATTAATATCATAGAACAAGACAGAAGCTCCATGTGTCATTCCACTTACCAAACATTACGAAGAGTGCAGTCACTAGTTCTGGGAAGTAGTTCATTTTCTGAGTCACTGGAGTGTGTGAATCTTAATTTCTTAAGTTAGGGAAAGGTTAAGATCTTAGTGAAAGGATAAATGTGAGCCGAGAATTAAACAGGAAATATGCATGTGTTAGGTAGATGCACACACCCCCAACCTCCTTTTCAGGCAATTTTCTAACCTCAGAAGATTGTTGACCTATATTCTCAAAAGTCAGTGATTGAGTGCCAGTCTTAGCTCTTTTGTTTTGTCTGACACCTGGTGGATATTGGGCAGTGCTTTTGTAATTCTGAAGAATGGTTGTGATGGCTTATTTGCACCTTGTATGTTATCTCAAATGGGAATGCCATTCCATGACATTTCTAAGTTTCTTACATAGTCAATTTGAGCCTTGTGGTAATTGACTGGAAAAATCACACAAGCAAGAAATGTCAACATACATTTAATCACTTCCAGATAACTTTGGGGGAAAGAGACAAACTTTTTCCATTGTGTTATCCTACACTTGGACAGATGTCATAAACCTAAAAGATACCTAACCTGATATTTCTTACATTTTCGGTTGTGAGCCTAGCCTTTAATGGGTAAGAGAGACATCCCTCCAGGCCCAGATATTTCTTAAATTAATTAATGAATTTTCTTTGTTTAAAGGAATGTCACTACTTGAAATAGCCATTTGATTCACATTTCTACCATTTATCAAAAGAAACTCAACTTACCAAAAGTTTTTCAAGGAGAAATTGCAAAGGGGCAAAATGTTGTCTAGACACCTTCCTTGTATAGATGAATGCAAAAAACAAACAACAAACACGCAATAAAAAATACTTCAGATGCGATCCTAGTCCTGAGAACTTTCTGCTTCTGATTGTCTTCACTTCTTCACTTATCAGACGGTCTAAGGACTCAGTCAGATACGGGGAGCAACTGAGTCAAAAGTGAGGATCAACTGCAGAAATGGAGGGAGCGAGTCGGTGCTACGTCGCCCTCTGGCGGTCAGTGCAGGATAAACGCTCTGAAGCAAACCCATGTGTTCTTCCTGTCTAGAGAACACCTCATGTTTCCAAGCTAATCTGTGCTGTGTTGAGTCCTAACCTAATAAAAAATAGACCATGCATAATTGAAAGACATTTTTCTTTCAAAAAATTATCATATGGAAAAACAATTAAATTAGAAGGTCATTACAACTTGAGTATAAAAGCATAAACTACAAGCAGCCCTGCCGCCACTGCCACCGCCGCCTGAAGCAGTCAAAGGAGACTGGATCTCTAAAGTGTGTTTTGTTGAATCCTGGAAGCCAGAGAAAACTCTGCCCTCCCGGCATTTCCTTTTTAGCATTTTTGCAGAGAATCAGAATAAAGGAAATCAATTTGAAGTTCAGTCGTATCCTTTTAACCAATGGTTCTTGGTTCTGAGATATCCTTCTTATTTTCTTCCCCTTACTCTCCCCTTTCTCTCCCCCATTTCTTCCTCACCTCTCTACCCCCATCCCACCCCTTCTTTAACTCAGAAAAAAAACAAATCATTAGCAATGTGTTTGCCTGCATATTTCTTCTTAGAGAAGAAGTCTACACCTGCTCTTACAATTCAGATGCAGTGCCCTCTCTCTGTGCCCCTTCCACAGCCATCACCTATGCAGACACATCTCTGCTGTCAGTGGGCATCCAATCAAGGGGAGTTCCAGTAGGATATGAAGTGAGTGACTTTGATGAAATGAAAAAACACAAAAGGACACATAAAATAGTAGTTTCAAATGTTAATTCTTTGCTTAAAAAAATGAAACAAATTTATCTCTTTCAAGCAGAACTATGAAGATTCAGTGACTTTAGACAAACACTAATAATAATGTAGTATGGAGAAAAGACAGCAAAACCCCACCATCATTTGGTCTGGAAAGAACTGAGATGACACACCGTCAAAGAAACAGTAGACTATAAACCATGGGAACAGCTTGACCTAGACTCATTAGTATCCAGCAGTTTTAAGTGGGTGGAAGTTAGGTAGTCTAATGAAGGTAGTGTTGATTGCAGTCAATAGCCATGCCATTCTTCGGATAGAGAAGTTTTTTCTTTCCTCTTCACCTTTAAGACATTTGGGACTAAAAGTTTAGCTGCTAAACCAAAACAAGTAGTATTCTGAGATAAAGGACTCATTTTACAATGAGTAAATAGTCCTTGGTTAAGAAGAGATGATATTCTCTGCGTATGCCCTTAATAAAAGAATCATAAAATGCATGAGAAAAAGTAGAGAAAATTAAAATATGATAAATCTACAATCAGAGTTAAAGATTATAGTGCTCACTTCCAAGTAGCTAATCTGACAATATGAAAAACTGACACTTGATGGGAAAAACTATCAACCAATCACATCTAGTTAAGGTGTGGCTAACCCACCCTAAACCCAGGTAGCCTCACCCTAACTAGATGTGATTGGTTTATTGTCTTAGTCTTTAAGTTAGATAGGTATTAAAAATTATAGATCAATAGTCATCTATGTTTGTCATATTTATAATTAGGCTAATCAGTTTCTTTAGATACATAGAGATTATATTCAATATAGATAGATAATCTTTAACCTCTTCAAAAAGCTGTAGTAAATGGCCTTTAATCTAACTTAGTGAGACACAATCGCTCCTGGCAATACCAAAAAATGTTGAGCACCCGAAAAAATTTTGAGCACCAAAGACATTCCACCTGGAGCCTTTCTTCTTGACAGATCTGGCCTTTAGGCAAAGAAATGTCCATACCTTAACCACTGACAGATATAAAAAGTGTCCGAAAATGGATAAAACAGGACTGTCATATCCTGCCAAGACAGGGTAAGATAGTTTTAAAAAGTTTTTTGCCTTTAAAAATGGTATGTCAGTTATATTATGCTTTAGCCAAAGTTGGTTGCTTCAACATTAAAAATGAGACTTTGGGTGATTGCCCAGGTATTCAGTTGTCTCTGTCATTTGTTACACATTTTGAAAGTTTCTCAATTGCACTTCCTGTTTACTCAAGTAATATTGTTTCCCTTCTCAGATCTTTGATGGAGTTAAACATTAGATAATTATAGTTACCTTCCTCATGATTTAACCAAGCTTAATTTCAATATAATAGTTAGAATCCTTAAAATAGAATGTTTACTAAAACCTTTGTTATGCATTCCTTGCTTAATATTGTTTATTGTTTGTAATTTTATATTTGGTATCTGTTCCTATTGTATATAGTTGTATTGGGTTTGGATAGATCTTGTTTAGACAAAAGGGGGAGATGATGGGGAAAACTCTATAAACCAATCACATCTAGTTAGGGTGTGGATACCTGGAGCCCAGGTAGAAAAACTGAGAGGACACAGGAGCGCACACTCTCTGTGTGGTGCCCATGGGACAGATAGAACATCGGACCTCCCACTCTTATAGCATGAGTTTCGCCTTTTTAACCATTAAAATATAACTGTAATTCTTGAGCTGGCCTGGTTATTTATCGTACCGACCTAATTTGCAACAGACACTAGATTAGAGCAATCAATTCGACCAAATTGGCATCTCTACTGATCATTACACTCACCAATGCAATGTGCTTTTTTACCAGTGTACAAGCAATGCTCACTTAGACAGACCATACACTCAGACAGTCTAAAATACACCAGTGAATCTGAAGAGATTGAAATTATAAGCCTTGTGTTTGCTGGCCACAAAACAGTGTAGAAATCTTTCACATGCATGACAAATGGTAAAATAAGACCAGGTATTTGGAAATTAAGTAACACATTTTCAAGTAACCCACTGATAAGGGTAGAAATAAAAGGGAGCATTTGCTGTCCTACAATGGTCTGTACCCTGTCACTTGTATTTTAAATAAATGCTGATTGCCCCATTATCTCAGGCTTTACTTATTAACTCTTATAACTTATATTAGCCAATAATTCTTGTTTGTGTTAGCCATGTGGCTTCATATGTACCTTTTTTGGCAAGGCAGTCACATCTTGCTTGCTCTGTGTCTGACTTCCTATGTGTCTGGGTAATGACTGTAGACTGAATCTTTTCTCTTCCCAGAAATATTGTCATCCCACCTCTACTTCCTGCCTGGTCGCCCCACCTATAAATTGCTTGGCTACTGGCCAATCAGTGTTTATTTAAAATACAAGTGACAGGGCATAGACCATTGTCCTCCAGCAGGCATTAGAAACTATTTTGAACTAAAGTTTGGTAAATCACAGTCTGGATAATGTGTAGATGAAACTAAGGTGAATAATGAAGGTATTTATAGCACACACACACACCTTGATAGGTTTAAGATTTAAGAAAACAGTAAAAGAAAATTTACATGAAGCATGGACTTCTTAGGGGGGAGAGCCAATGAAGCACAACCCAGAGAAACAGAAACCATGTAAACAGCTTGACATAAACACATTATTATCCAGCAATTTTGAGTCCATGGTTGTTGGGTAGTCTAATGAAGGTAGTGTAGACTGTGGCCAATAGCAATGTCATTCTTCTGAAAGAGAAATCTTTCTTCCTACTTAACTTTAAGACATCTGGAACTAAAAGAAAATTATGGATTAAAGTATAAGGTAGCATGAGTCAAAATATTTCTTTCTTCTAACAAATTTTTCTATTTGTAATAGTGACAAAAACTTGGCACAATAATTACGGAATTTCTCACTTTCATATGACTACATTTATGAATTTTTATCATTATTCACTCTCACCATTTGCCAGTATATAGCAGAACAAAATATTCTAATGACAGTCTTGCCTCTTGTTAGATCCCAGTAAACTACAGGATACCAATGGAAGTATAGGCTCCACTAGAAGAGGTATGAACTCTCTCATAGGTGAGAGAAGAACTTTGTGTTCTCTTTAGGGTAGAGGCTATGCAAACTTGTTGCTGAATGAATAATGGTTATACAATATTAGCAGGAACTGTAATTCCTCTCTTTTCCTTATTTGAATGTATTGATGGTTAAAGAAAGTGTGCATGGATTCCAAATTCATAATTGCTACATTTGCTTGCTTCGTGTAATCTCTGCTTCCATATT